GCCCCCCACCCCGCACCCCGGCCCCTGGAATTCGAAGGGGTTGGCGGGGATCAGAACTGGTATTTGCTGCTGCTCTAGGCGGCGTCGAGCTCGGGGATGATCCGGCGCGGCTGGTTCGGCTTTCAGGTTCGGTGTCAGCAGCGGCACGCCCGTCCTCGAACATTCCAGGTCGGGGTGGTGCTGGAGATGTTGCCGCGGCCGCTCAGCTACAGAGCCGGGGGACGCAGCCCACTCCCGCCTGGGGGCTCTCCCAGCCCGCCCCTTTGGGGACCGCGCTCGCGCGTCCTCTCTCCGGTGGAAGTTTCCTTTTTCTCTCCTGGAGGCTGCGGATCGGGTGATGCGTAACCCGAACTGTCAGCTCCCCGGGGAAGGGGGGCAACAGCATGGCTCCTAAGAAGGAGAGCCGTAGGTCCCCCCAACTCCCCAGACACACACTGGCACCCCTGCAACCTCTGAGCGCAAACACCCTCGTGGCTTTTCTTTTCCAGGGATAAGGTCCCCAAGTGGGTCCACGCAGTGATGCGAGTGGCGGTGCGGGAGCTGGAAGGCTCCCTGCCCCAGCCCTACGCCGATGAGATCCGCGGCATGTGCGACGTCCTGGGCTTCAGCCTGGCGGACTGCATCCTCATCAACCTGGCCTACGAGTCCACCGCGTGAGTGCCCGGCTGGCCAGCGACTCTGGCCACGCGAGTGGGAGCGGACTTGTTTCCAGGGAGACAGAAGCGGGGTGGTGTCTGGGCCGCCCAGAAACCCGCGGCAATTCCTCTCTGCTTCTCTGGTTATGCCTGGGTCATGCAGCGGGTCATGCCTGGGCTTCCCGCAGGCAAGCGGCTTCTCTGACCTCCACACTGAGCTTTCCCTCTACCTGATGCCCCCTTTCTCCCACCACCAGTCTAGGTGGCACCCCACTTTGGAAACTCTGCGCAACCTGTACTTTCCAAGAAGTTTTTGGAACTCACCCCACTCACACCTGGACCCTCTAGTTAACCCGGTGACCCTCGGGCCGCCCTAGCCCTAATTTGTCCCTGCAGTCCTTCCTCCCCCATGTCATAGCTGGTGATCCGGATTCCTCTTTCCCAGTCTGTTCCCTCCAGGGCTGGGCCACAGGCCAGCCAATATTTGGTGTGCTGAGCGGGGATGACAAAATGCGGGGCACAGACCTGGAAGCAATATGGAGTGCCTGGTGGATCCCAGGCAAAGGGCAGGGAAGCCGAAAGTCTCCATGGGCTCAGTGACAGGTCCTGGAATTAAGAGGTTTCTGCCTCCAGGACTTAATTGTTTTGCTACCAGACCAGCCTCATCTAGTAACATCTTGCATTTACTTAAACACATTGCGCACCAGTAGTTTTATTGCTAGCTTTTCCCAGTGGCCAGGTAAGTTTCTATTGAACGAGTACAAAAAACATTTTACATAAATGTTAAAGGCACGCTTTAAAATTAAATACCCATTGCATTTTGAAGTTATTTATTACGTGTTCTTACAAGCTAATATCTTTTTAAAGTATGATACTTTGTGAAACACTGTGTAATATGAAGCGAGAATTCTCGTGATTCGTCCGCAATGTGGTAACAGCTTCTGGCTACCAAAAGATTGATGAAAAAAGTTATTGGGATAATGAAACTTTACTGCCACTACCCCCTGCCCCTCCTCCCCTGGCATCTTCCAAGAACAACTAGGCAGAGCAGGTTAACATGCATTGCGACTGCATTTCTCCTCAGGAAAATGTTTTAAGACACAAACTTGTTAAAGTGCTTTTCAATTGAACTAATTTTGCCACTCTTTATCTCCCATTGTTTCCTTGTTCTGGCATGTGTCTTTCTCACTGAAAAGAAAAATCGATTTTCTTTTTTTTAAAAAATATATATTTATTGATTTCAGAGAGGAAGGAAGAGGGAGAGATAGAAACATCAATGATGAGAGAGAATCATTGACCGGCTGCCTCCTGCATGCTCCTCACTGGGGAGGTGCCCGCAACCCAGGTATGTGCCCTTGGCTGGAATCGAACCTGGGACCCTTCAGTCCGCAGGCCAACGCTCTATCCACTGAGCCAAACTGGCTAGGGCGAAAAATCGATTTTCATATACACTTTCACCTTCTTTTGTTGGAGTCACTGATTGAAGCAAAAGTTCCAGGAAGAATATTATAACTTTGGGATGTGATGTTAAGGTACATATTGAATTCCCTATCAACACAAAACACAGGCAGACTCCACTAACCTTAACAAAGGAAATGTTTTATTCTCATTTCTGATGTCAGTTTGAAGGCTTTTCGAATCAGGATAAGAATAGCTACCCCATATTGAGCCCGCTGGGTGCCAGGCACTGAAGATGGCATTACCTGCTGTGACGTGGAAACCAAGCCGCTGCTGCTAAAGCACGTGTGTCTCCATTGCGCCACAGTGCCTTTCCCAAAGCAGAGCCCGGCCCCCAAGCCCCCTGTGCTGATGGGCTACCTCATTTGGGCATGACACGGAAGTAGTGTTCTCTTGCCAATTTTGAAAAACCAAACTTTGCTTTAGCCACTTGCAATGTTTTATCAGTCCCCTCCTTGACATGAACTCTTTGAAGTTAAGATCGGAAACCTTGGGAAAAACTAGAACCTTACCAAGCTTCCTTCTTTAAACAAACATAAAAATTAAGTAACATTTCTTTTCTCCTAACTATAAAAATAATATGTAATCATTCTAGAAAATTAATAAATACAGAGAAGTGAAAAGAAATTAATGATATCCTATTACTCAGAAATGGCCATCAGTTCTTCAAGGTGTTTCCTCTCAGTTTTGTGTGGATATACATATCTTCTTCCCCATTCTCCAGAATTGCGCATGCTGTATGTAAATATCTTTTTCACATAACCTTTCATATCCTCAAAGAATTTACATACCTTACCACACCCCTTCCTTCTTCCTCCAATGACTTCTCTCTGGCTCCTTCCTGTCAGCTCTGTGCAAAGAGTTCTAAAGGGGACAGGAAAAGTGCAAGCCCCTAAAGAGTTGACCATTTTTCCAAGGAGAGAAAATGAAATGTTTGTGGAACAGAACGGTTTAGTGCCAATCTACGTGCTCTGAGAAGTTCATGGGATAGAGAGGTGACCTTGAGCAAGCTTTGAACAACGTATTGAATAGGCTACACTCTGCCATGCAGAGGAATAAGCACAGTTCAGTTCTAGTGGAGCCCAGATGGGTCAATTCCAGATTTAGATTTAGGATGAAATTCTCTTTCCATATGTTTTCAATGCTGTGTGTGCTGAGGGCAAAGGTCTAGTAACACTGAACGCTGATGCGCTGTGTCCAGTGTGTTTTCACCTTGAATTGTGAGTCCATAGTTTCGTACAAGGATTATATAGCGTATGTGTCCATTGTAATGAATTATTGTGTTTTACTTTAACGATTTATCTTAAAAACGAAAACCTCATTTTCCTTTTTCTTATTTTTCTCATTCATTCCTGTTGAACTTTCCCCCTTTTCTCAGATTCTGCACCAGTATTGTGGCTCAAGACTCCAAAGGCCACATTTACCATGGCCGGAATCTGGATTATCCATTTGGGGATTTCTTACGCAAAATGACTATGGATGTACAATTCTTAAAGAACGGGCAGGTATTGTCCATACAGCATAAGATTCAGGAATCCGAGACTTGATAACCCAAGTTAGCAATCATGGCCTGCTACTTAAATGTGTTATCAGTTTAAGATACAAAAAACATCAAACTCCTGGAAAAGCAAAACCAGAAGAGAGGTTTACATCAATTATGCTTATAGAGAGAAGAGTTATCTGTTATTATTAGCATAGAGAGGTCAATCCATATTCCTTGGGGAAATCTCGATGAGGGTGTGGTCTGTCGTCCACTTATGACACCAAGCCAGCTCTTTCCTCTGCTTTCCCATGTTCAGGGGGGCGGAGGGGCTGTGTAGTGTAATGGCTAGAAACACCCAGCTTTGGGGTCTGACAGTCCTGACTTTGAATCCTGCTTTTGTCACTTATTTCCTTTATGAACCTGGGAAATCACTTAAACCCATTTTGCAGACTATAGTTCAGAGAGGTTGATAATTACTTTATGGTATTAGTTATTTTCATCATAGTAAGGTCTAGTAACACTGAAAAGAAAACCACTGTTGAGCTGTATTCTGTGGTGTTACTTATTAAAGCTATAATCTAATAGGTACTATTGTCACATTTCTGTATAAACTTTTAGGGAGATGGCATTCATCAATATTCATTGATTATACATAGCAGGTTATTGCTATGAAACAGAACAGAGCATGCCAAAGCCAGGTTTTGGCTTTGAGGGACATTGTTTAAGGACAAGGACTATATTTTGTTTGTTCTTTGCATTTAGAGGTTGAGTCACAGATATGAAAAACTCATTTACTCATTTGGTCATCTGCTTTTACAAAGAGAATCTCTTATTAAAAGTTCGAACAGCACTGGGTTTCCCACATGCTGCCACTTGTAGGATGGAGCTGCTTAACCTTCTTTGTGTGGGAACCCCTTTGGTGAAGCTGCTGATCCCTTCTTAGAATTACGCTTATAATACATAAAATAAGAGGTATGGGATTGAAAAGAAAACCATTAAGTTGAAATACAGCCATTTCATTATTTTATTCTTTTTAAAAAATATTTTTTATTGATTTCAGAGAGGAAGGAAGAGGGAAAGAAAGATAGAAACATCAATGATGAGAGAGAATCATTGATAGGCTGCCTCCTGCACACCCCCTCCTAGGGTTCCAGCCCGAAAACTGGTCATGTGCTCTGACCAGGAATGGAACCATGAACTCCTGGTTCATAGGTCAATACTCAACCACTGAGCCACACAAGCCGGGCAATTTTATTTATTCTTAACACATTAAATAGTAAAATTTGGCAGTGGCTTTAATAACTACCATAATTTTCAGGGTAGTGATAAGTGTGAATGATATTTCAAGATATGTATGCATAGCATAGCAAGATAGGTATGATACCATTATGTATGTGAAAATACCTGCAATTTCTGCTGGTGACAGAATGACAGGCACTGCTATGATGACATGGTTTATTGCATTATTCATTACAGAAGAAATGAAATTTCAGTTAGAAGTTAGTGAAAATAAAGATGTACCTTTTTTTCCCATCCAAGGTCATAGGTCCACTGAATTCTATCCAAGGTTAAACCTTCTACAAGGTTATTTCAGAGTTTTTATTCTATTATGTTGGAACCTTAGAAGAAGAAAAAAATCTATGAAATTGTGGGGCGAAATAAGGTGATTTCAAAGTATATTTGGTTGGAATGGTAAAATGGTACCTTATCTCTTGATTTCAGGTTGCATTCACTGGAACCACTTTTATTGGCTATGTAGGATTATGGACTGGTCAAAGTCCTTACAAGTTTACAATCTCTGGCGACGAACGAGGTAATCGAAATGAACGCCCAAGCATCCCTGTTCATTTTTATCCGAGTACTTCACTCACTCACCCAACAGAACAAGTAGAACAACTACTACACTTGAGGGCATTCTGGTGAGGTTAGACGGGCAGTGGGCACGTCAGCAAGGAAGATGATTGCAGGTAGCTATAAGTGCAAGGAAGTAAAACAGGACGATGTGATGGAGAATGAAGGAGGGGCAGGACGGTTACTATAGCTAGAGGGTCCGGGAAGGCCTGACTCACGGGATTCTGCCAGACCCCTGCCAGGCTCCATGCATCCTGATGGGTTCGGTAGTGTGGTTACAGAAGGGAGTAAGGAGGGTGGGGAGGGAGGAGGAGAGGAGGGCTGAGGCCATGGTGTAGGTCATGAGGAGTTTGGAATTTAAGGGCAGTGGAAGCCCTTAAGGACTGTAGGCCAGGGAGTGAACAGATATTATTTATATGTTAGCTCTCACTTTGGCAGCTCTGAAGAGACTGAATGGTGTTGGATTAAGATGGAAGCAGAGACGGTTAGGAAGCTGTTGTGGTGATCTGGAGGCTGTATGATGGCCTTCCACAGGCAACATCTGTAAAGCACTTTGCAGTGTACTGTGCACTTTCTCCTAAGTGTCCTCATTAGAGCCTTACAACAGTCCTTCTGCATTGGCAGGGCTGATATTATGAACCCGTTCACGATGCAGAGGAGGAAACTGAGGCTCAGAAGAAATGAGAGTTAGTAGGTGGGGAGGTAGTTCTCAAATTGATTTCACGGGTCCTGGCCCAAAGCTCTGTTTGTTATACAGCCGCGGCCCTTCCGCAAGTCTCAGGGACATCGTTCAGTTCCACAGTATGTGGGAAGCCCAGAGATAACCTCTTGTCTCTGTCCTCAGGAGCTGACAGCTGAGTGAAGGAGACATACACAAGGAGTCTCTTAAAGTTTAGTGTTGGTCATTGATGAACCCCATTGACTTCCTGTTATTGTTTCCTCTGATTAGGTTTATTCTTTTTTTTAATTTTTACTAATAATCCTTACCCAAGGGGATATATATATATATATATATATATATATATATATATATATATATAGAGAGAGAGAGAGAGAAACATCAATCAGTTGCCTCCTGCATGAGCACTGACCAGGGATTAAACATGCAACCTGGGTATGTGCCCTGACTGAGAATCAAACCCTCAACCTTTTGGTGTACGGGACGCCGCTCCAACCAACTGAGCTACACTGGCCAGGGCTATAGTTGTCAGTTCTTTATCCTAATGTATTTCTTCAGCATTTTCTCAAATGTCAGCTATGTGTGAGCCTGTTTCTCAAGTGGTACTCCAACCACAGCATGACAGTTATTAAAATTTTACACAGAATGTCTGTAAACACATGCATATTTATTAAAAAGTGGGCTTTGTTTCCATCATTTTGCAACTCAGATTGTTTAACAAACCGATTAGTAGAACCTAAGGTATGAGCAGTTTACAAATAATGCAGTTACTCTGTAACATATGCATTTAATTAAGTACTGTCAAACTGCTTTTTAAAAACTTCTAAAAACCTTATTTGAACGAAAACTATCTTTTAATCTGCTAAGATTGAGTTGAAATGCCTGAACAGTAAGGTAAGATCTCTTGGTTAATGGAGATAAGATATTCAGTTACGCTTCTGGGCATTATGGAGAGTGGCAGCAGTGCCTCTAACCACCGTGAGAAGGGGTAAGGATATGAAGACTAACTAATGGCATAGAGATGAAGAGCCTTAACTAACCACCTGGCGGTTAAGATCTCAGACTCCAGAGCCAGCCTGCCTTGGTTATATCTTTGTGCTGTCACTTGCTAGCTGGGAGACCAGGACCAAGGTGCTTAAACTGTCTGTCTGTACTTCAGTGTCCTCATCTGGAAAGCAGGGGTGATAATCCCTGTTGTGAGGATGAAATGAGTTCATGTACATGAAGTGCACAGGGCAGTGCCTGGCACACAGTAAGGGCCAGTGGAACATCTGTTATTATTACCACATCCCCAAGTCTGACTTCTGAAACCCAGATTGGAGTACCCATCCACCGTCTCAGCATCTCCACCTTGACGTCTACCCAGTATCTCAAACTTCACCTGCTTAAGCAGATCTCTTGACTTTTTCTCTCCTTCTTTTCTTGCCCTCACTCTGCCTCCACCCACATCTGTTCCTCTCTTGGTTTTGTGTGTCTTAGGAAATGGCACTGCTAATCAACTGATGTACCAGGAGATTCTTTGATCCCTGACTCCCGAGTGTAGCCAGCTCTACCACCAAAGCGAGACTGTCCTTGTCCATTCTGCCAACCTTCAGTGCGAGGCTACCTGCATCGTGCCGGTTCTGCTGCCGTCCCTGTTCATCCAGTCTCTCTGCTTCTCGCCCTTCTATAGTTCCTTTTTAACCAGCAGCTGGCACCGTCAGGTTGTTCCTCTGTTTAAAACCTACAGTGACAGCCCATTTCACTTACAACAAATCCAAAGTCCTGACTCTGACCATAGAACTCTACACGATCAGCTCCTATACCTCAGTTCACACCTGTCCCCTTCTCCCTCACTCCACCTGCCCCTCACCAGCATTCTTTCCTTTCCTGCATCTGCCAAGCTTGTTCCTGTCTTAGGTCCCTCAGCCCATCTTAACTCAAATGTCCGCAACTCAGAGAGGCTGTCCTTATGTTCTTCTTGAAAGGAATCTTCTCTTGTCACTCATGATTATATTATCCTGTCTCATTTTCTTTATTATAGTTATCCTGGTCTTGTTTATTTAATGGTATGGTCAGCTGAGCACCAGGTGTCAGGAGGCTTTGCTAGAAATAAATGGCAACAATTTATTCAAGGGTTTTAGGGTTTGCATACCATAGACACAACTAGGCAATACCCAGGGTGTTCTGAAGAAGAAAGAAAAGGGAAGAGTTTTTATAGTAAAAAGTACATTCTTCAGAAGGATGCGTCCTGCATTCTTAGCCCCTGGCAATCTTAGCAGATGGCGATCTTCCAGATGTCAGGGGTCTGGATGCCAGGCTGTTCGGACATGTGAATATTCTTTCCTAAGATCTAAACAGGGTTATCTATAGGGAACAGCTATAGCTATCTATCTACCTCCACAGGCATTTATACATTACTGAAAAGTTCAAGTTCCCTGGCTAATGAAAGCAGGAATAGAATTGTTTCCTTCTGCCTCAGCCTACTTGATTTTAGTAATTGAGCAGCTTGACTGTAGTGACTCTGTTTTAGTTCTTCGCTCTTCCCTCAATATACTAGTTTCTTCTGTCCACTGTTCAATTCCAAGGGTCTGGACCAAGTCAGGATATGCCAGTGTTTCGTGAAAAGGCCTGAGGTAATTCATAGAGTGATTTCCTTTAAGATAATTATCATTGCTTCCGGCACCAGAAATTCTGTGTGTAGATGTGATACACACACACACATGTTTACACAGAACACAGAATCTTTGGTGCCTGAAAACAATGCTTTTAGCTTCATCTTTAAAAACTGGATGCTAATAAAATCACTCTTCATCTACCAACCGTCCCCCCTTCCCCCACCAGCTTGGACTATGGGAAGGAAACAAGACTTAAGGAATTTTAAAAAGTGGCAGCAATTGTGCATACACTCACTGTTCCTTCACCTCGGCAGATAAAGGCTGGTGGTGGGAGAATGCGATCGCTGCCTTTTTTCAGAGACACTCTCCGATCAGCTGGCTTATCCGCACTGTGAGTATATTGACTGGAGCCCACCTCACCCTGACTTCATCTTCTGTGACGCTCTGTGTCATCTAACAATGTTGTTCTTAATGTAAGAAGCTCCTGCAGCCCTAGCTGGTTTGACTTAGTGGGTAGAGCATCGGCCTCTGGACTGAAGGGTCCAGGGTTCAATTCTAGTCAAGGGCACTACCTGGGTTACAGGCTCGGTCCCCAGTGGGGGGCCTGCAGGAGGCAGCCAATCAATGATTCCCTCTCATCATTGATGTTTCTATCTCTTTCTTCCTCTCCTTTCCTCTCTGAAATCAATAAAAAATATATTTTTTAAAAAAGAAGCTCCTGCAAAGAATAAGCATCTAAAGGTTTGCAAAGTGCATATCAACCTTCTGATAGTAAGTTAAAGTGGTAAGGACAGATTTTAATCAATAGTATAATACTGCAATGGGAGAAAGTGTTCAGCGTGACTTGCACTCAACTTTGATTTGTACAGAGGTACCTGGGTGTTTTAAAGGGAGAGTGGGTAATGGAGGAGGTGAGGGGGAACACAGGAGAGTCAGAGAATTGACAAATTACAAAAAGCCGAAAAGAGGGGTTGTTTGTGTAAAACCTGAGTTTGCTAACTGTTAGGCTCCTTCCCTCCAGCAGACCGGGAGACAAGGGCCCTATCTTCAGGTGTTGGCTGAAACAGACAGTAAATTATTTTGTCAGTGTCCAGGGAGGAAAAATTGTCTTCGACCCTTCTGGGTTCTTCTGGCTGGTCTAATAATCAAATTGACATGAGACAGATTAGCAGGAGAAAAAAAATTTAGTAACATCTATACCTCCTGTATAACACCCAGGAAAACTGTAACTCTCACCAAAATGGTGGAAGCCATCACCTTAAATACGTTCACTGAAGACAAAAGGAGACGTTGAGGGTGGGGAGTCAGTTATGGGAGGCAACCAGGAAAAAGTATAGCAAGAGTAAGATTTTTGTTTGTTTGTTTTTGTTGATTTCAGAGAAAGAAAGATAGAGGGAGAGAGGGGTAGAAACATCAGTGCACACCCCCTACTGGGGATCAAGCTCACAACCCAGGCATGTGCCTTGACCGGGAATCGAACTGTGACCTCCTGGTTCATAGGTCAGTGCTCAACCCCTGAACCACATCAGCTGGGCAAGAGTAAGATTTTTAACAGATCAGTAGTTATAAAATAGTCATGGGGATGTAAAATACAGCATAGCAATAGAGTCAATAATATTGTAATAACTATGGATGGTGCCAGGTGGGTACTGGAAATATCAGGGAACACTTTGTAAAGTATATGATTTCTAACCACTATGCTATACGCCTGAAACTAATATAAAATAATATTGAATGTAAACTGTAATTGAAAAAATTTTGAAAAGTAAGATTTCTATGCAGATTTGAGTCTAAGCCTTCTCCACTGATAACAGTTTCTAGAGATTCATATACCCTTATTCTGGTACAGTTAGGGAGACACCCTCACAAATGGAGAGTTCTCTGATGAATGGAAATGCTTTTTAAAAAGGATAACTTCCACCTGGTTTTCAGAGCTTCTGCCATGTCTGCTGTTTCTTAAAGATAACCAGCTTAAAATAATCCTCATGCCACAGAGACATATTTGGGGAGGCAAATTCTGCTCCCCTACAGCAGCCTGGAGTTTTCTCGGGCAGTCACTATAACGGGGGGAGGGCTAGCGTCGTAGGGATGTGGCCTTGAGCTGTTGGAAACTGTTAGTGTTTGTTCCAGTCTTTGTAGGCCGAGGTTAAAGCCTGATCAAGAGGAAGGCTCAGAGGAGGCTGGCCAGAGTTTGGTCAAGGAGAGAATCTTGGTCCTAGGCTCTAGTTTTCCAAAATAGCTGATTGAAATAAGAGATAATACTGTGCTTTTCTATAGACATAGATATACCTCCCCTTTAGAAATCCCAGTGGCAAATATTGGAATTAGCAAAACAATTACATTAGAAGGTAGCTCTACACAAAACAAAAGGAGCATCTGCGTTACAGGTCCTACCAGACAGCAGAGTTCCAGGCTGCATGTAAGTTGTCCTTCGACCATAGAAGGCTAGTGTGGCTCAGTGGTAGAGCATCAGCCCATGCACCAAAGGGTCGAGGGTTTGATGCCTGGTCAAGGGCATGGACCTGGGTTGCAGGTTCATCCAGACCCAGTTGGGGGAGGTAACCAATTGATGTGTCTCTCACATCCATGTTTCTCTCTCCCCCTCCCTTCCTTTCACTCTCTCTAAGAAAATTAATGGGGAAAAAAAATCCTCTGGTGAGGATTAAAAAACACGGGGCTATTATGAATAACCTGCCATAATTTACATAAATGCATAGATATTAAGAGTTTAGTTCAATGTGTTTTGACAGTTGTACTCACTCATATAGCCATGCCTGTAACCACAAACAAAATAAGACGCAGAGCATTTTTAAGTCCCTGGAAATTCCCCTAGCGTCCTTTCTAATCAGTTCCCAACCTCCTCTGACACCCATCTCCCCCCAGGAAACCACTGTTTGACTTCTATCACTACAGAGAACTTTTGCCTGTTCTAGAATTCATATAAATGAAATCATAGTATATGGACTCTGTTTCTTGCACTCGGCATAATGTTTTTCAGATTTATCCATGTTACTTGTGTTACTAGCTCGTTCCTGTTATTGAAAAATATTCAGTTCTATGAATATTCCACAATTTTTTTTTAAATATATTTTATTGATTTTTTACAGAGAGGAAGGGAGAGAGATAGAGAGTTAGAAACATCGATGAGAGAGAAACATCGACCAGCTGCCTCCTGCACATCTCCCACTGGAGATGTGCCCGCAACCCAGGTACATGCCCTTGACCGGAATCGAACCTGGGACCTTTCAGTCCGCAGGCCGACGCTCTATCCACTGAGCCAAACCAGTTTCGGCGAATATTCCACAATTTATCCATTTTCTTGTTGATAGACATTGATTGGGTTGTTTCCAGTTTGGGGCTATTATGAATAACCTGCCATAGAAATTTTTGTACAAGTCTTTTTTTTTTTTTCTGTTCATCAGATTATTTATTCACTTGATTTTTAGATTTACTAGTTGATAGATGTGTATTTGTTGTTCATAATTTGTATCTTTGCCATTTTCTTCTTCTTCCTCTGCTTAAAGGATACCTTTCAGCATTTCATATAATATTGGTTTAGTGGTGATGAACTCCTTTAGCTTTTCCTTATCTGTGAAGCTCTTTATCTGACCTTCAATTCT